CAGTTATGTTTATACAGTGCTTTACTTTCAGGAAGTATTGCAAAGTTTAAAACTAATAAAGTTTTGATACCATTATACATATCATGCATGTTCCATGATGGTAAAGTGTTTTTGCTCAAGATGCCAATGTCTGCTTTATATAGGATCAAACATTAATAAATGAAGTCCAAGATGGAAATGCAAAAGCTTATTAAAATATTTAAAATATTTGAAAGTATGTTAGCAATACTGTATTTTTGTTTTCTTAGATGTAGAAATGGTTACAAGATGCAGAGGGTCCTGGAAAAAATATTATATTATATTGCTGATATTGACCCATGTGTGATGTCATGACATGATATTACATGTTATAAAGATGTAAGCAATTTATTAAATGAAGTATTCCTATGCCATGTGATTTTGTTGTTGTAGGGTTTAACACCATTTTTCAGCACAAGACAGGCTATACCATCCACTTTTTCATTTTCATGATATAGTCAGTCTCAGTGCCATTTTGTATAGTGCATACAACATTTTGGTTCCTTTTGGTAAGATCATTCATAATTTAGCAGTATTGTACCATTCATTTTTTTTAAAAATGAATTTAATGCCATTTTGAGCACATGACAAGCTATATAGGGGAGGGAGAACCTGGGAAAACTTAGGAAGAAGCAAGAATATGTATGAATCTGCTGGCTTGTCACATACCCTTTTAGCAGAGTTAAGACCCAAACCTATATGGACAGAGGTGAGATGTCAGTGATCTGTAAAGGCAAGCACCTTAGACCACTTAGTCATATGGGTCCCCCATTTGTTATTGCCACATGATTTAGACTTTTTCAGGCACTGTACTTGTCAATTATTACACTAAATCATTTTGATAATAATTTACATTTATTTTGAAAATTTATAAAAGTGAACATGGTTTAAAATGGATGAATACAAGACATGCTTTTTTGTACAGTTGCTCATTGATACACACATATAATGTATGTATACTTTGGTTGGAAGTAATTGGTCAAATATTTTGAATAATAATAAAAAAAAAGTTGTGATTTTATTGAGGGCAACACAGAACAAAAACTATCTCCATTATAGTACTCAATTATTTGCATATGCGCAGGCAAATATATAAAATATGGCTGGGAAACAAACAGCAGGCAAAAAAGGTATAATGGATTTGGGTAAACAGAAGCACGTAAGTATAGATTCAGCATTGTGTACACCTACATGGAGGACTGAAAACTTTCATACACACACATGGCCATGACTAGTTATAGACAGTTCCAAATGTATGGAAATAAGAAAGCCAAATTGCTTTGATACAATTTTGGGCTTAGGAAGAAGGTTATTAGTAGACAGCACATAGCATTGATATACTAGAAACTGTATTGATATCATTGGTCCTTTTACAGACCATGTCATTTATATACTTACATATAGAACCATTAAAAACTTCATACTTTCTTTAACATTTTTTTAATATAGTCATGATAATCAAATCCTTCATATATTTGCAGACATTAATAATTCTGTTTGTCATGGAAAATTTTGATGGCTTTTTTTTTAAAGTCTTTCCACTTTTAACAAATTTGCTCTAGAAGCAATACCCCAAATGATGTTGCAGTAGTGCATTTGAGTTTGAATATAAATTCTGCAAAACATTATCCTGTAAATGAAGGATAGAAATTCTTTAATTTTTATAGTGGCCATTTTCGGTAATGTTGCTGATATGCTCTGGTGATTTATTTTTATCCACTCGAACTTCTGAAAGTTTATCTAGCATAATATTTGTCAGTTCCATGTCATTAAATATCAGATTATTTTATCTTGAATTCTCTGTTGGGTGGTTATCTTCGTCAATTTGGATTTGTCGAAATTATGTTTCAATTAGGTTTATACCATTTAGAGAGTTTTATAAGTGTATTGTTTCTTTCAGCAGCAATTTTAGACAAGCTGATATCATATAAGGTAGAGTAATAAGTATAGAGATATCAGTTTCAGTATTTACTATATGCAATACAGATCATTTATAACCATAATATACAGTAGTGGCCCCAAAATATATCCTTGAGGTACTCCACACATCACAAGTTTTTGGTTTGACATGACACTGTTTATGTAAACTTATTACCTTCTTCCTTTCAAACAGAACTTGAACCAGTTTAGAGTTATTGTTGAGTTTGTAAAATTGGAATTTTTCAAGTAATATATTATTAAAAGCTTTCCTAAAGTCAACCAGTTATTGATTATCTAAAGCTTTGAGCCATTTTTCAACCATACTAGCAAGAATATAGTTTTACATTAGTGAATTGGGTGAAAGTCTGATTGTCTTTTATACAGCAGATTGTGTTTATTAAGGAAAATCAGTAGGGAGTCATGAGAATGTTTTTCAGGAATTTTTTTATAAGACAGAAAGGATTGAGATGGATCTAAAATTATTTAGGTCATCACGAGGACCAGATCAGCACATTGTGGAATTTGTTCCTTCTAAACATTGTGGAATTTGTTCCTTCTAAATATTGAGGATATTTCAGTACTTTATTTTCCTTTTTGAAGGGAATTTCATAGCAAGTACTGAGAGGAATTTTTTCATTACAAAGGTGTGAAAATTCCTCATGACTGTAACAAGAATTGGTTGTTTAACATTATCAGCAACAGTAACAAAAAAAGTTATTGACCCATTGACAATATCTTCATTGTTATTGATGCATACACCAATTTTTCTTAGTTATTATTGATGCTTACACCATCTTTTCTTGAATTACAACAATTATTAGAATCAGAATCAGAATGAGAATGACCTTTACCAGCTCTATGTTCTTTAAAATGTTTCCTTGTTTCTCTCTACTCCAATAAATATTAGCAAACAATTTTTAAATTTTACCCCATGCCCAAGTTATTGAGATGCCCTCCACACACCCCACCTCATGAAGATACAGAAACAGTGCCAATGTTCAGGATCACATTATCTAATACAGCTGTGGTATTTATTATTTTGTTTATGCCCCACTTAATTGGCATTACCTGGCTACTTTCTGATCTCCAATGTAATTGGATGTAAAGTTTTTTTTATCCATTTTTACATATTTTTTTTTGTTATATATGCATTTAACAGTTGGTGTGTGTATGTATTTTGCAGCCATCATAGTAATTGCAGTTTAGCCTTGTTTATCTAAGATATTTTTATCAAACCAATTCTCTTATATATGATATAAAAGAAAACCATTAAAAAAGATTAAAAATGAAAACTGTTCATGTTTCAGTTGTAATATTATTTATTATTGAAGACAATTGCAGAAAGCATTCAATATTGTTTAATAAATACAAGACATCCTAAGAATGGAAGTAAAGACTGCCCTGAAAGTAATTTTCACATGGAACTTAAACCCTTAGTGAACACTTAACATAAACCAGATGTTGGTGGGTATCAGTTCCAGTCCAGTGTGGAATATCTGATTACTTTTACTGTCAAGTGATTATTAACAGCTAATTAGTTGAAGGCTTACACTATTTTGTGGTCATCATAGTAATTTAGTCTTGTTTATCCAAGGTACTTTTATCCAACCAATTCTCTTCTACATGTCATAAAAGAAAACCATTAAAAGTGATTAAAAATAAAAACTTTTCATGTGTCAGTCATGTTAGAGGTTTCCAACAATGAATTTACAAAATTAAATTATATATGTTTTTAAAAGCAACCAAGTAAAAAACCTAGTATAAATTACTTTGGAACTGGCCAGTCCAACTGAGTGCTAGACTTAGATAGGGAATCAAGTGAGCAATACGAGGTCTCCATGTTTTCATGTTGGGTTCTTGGAGTTTAAGCACTCCTGTAGTTAATTATGTATGAAAGAAACTGATGGTAGAGAACCAGATCACTCAATAGGATTTTTGCATGATTCTTGGATTCCAATTGATGTTGCTTGATGGTTTGACACCTTTTTCCAGGACATGAAATAATATATTTGGTGGAGGAAGTACTACAGATCCATGTAAAACTACTGGCAAGCTTTTTTTACATACCCTCAATTGATATTAACATTATCCAAATGTTCTGTCTCATATGCGGTCATAATGCCACAGTTCTCAAGATGTTGTATGCGGTCATAATGCCACAGTTCTCAAGATGTTGCTTTAGTATTGCATTTATACTACAGTTTTTATCTTCTATTAAGCTCAGAGAACCTACTTAATAAATTCTATGTAAAGATGCGGTGGGAGAACTTTTTTGGTCTCCAATCCTTTCTTTACATATCAAGCATACTATGCATATATTCTATATACCTTAAAACATGTATATTAATGCAATAACATCAAAAGAACACTGTGTATAAATTAATCTTTATTTTGTGATTTAATACTGATTACACACAAATACTTGACCTAATTAAATAAAAATCTGGCATAGTTCACCCAAGTAGACCAACATAGATGGAAAACTATATATATATATATATATATATATATATATATATATATATGTGTGTGTGTGTGTGTGTGTGCAGCCACATTTCAAAATTTTGGTTTATAATGCATTTGCACATTTGGTGACAGAGATGTTTACAATATAAAGAATATTACTTTTTAAAATTCAAGTTTCAAGATCAATTTTCGAGTCCCATTTAAATCGCCATAAGATGGCTATAATATTAACTTCTAAGATATTTAAAATCTTCTGGAATCAAGATTTTAATGACTGATCATTAAAATCAATGTAATAAATTTAAGCTTTTAACAGTTCACTGTACAATTTGAGAATTGTTTTACACATAAACACAAGGTTAATGCCTGCATGTTAAGCTAACAATAAAAGCAATGTGTTAAACATGACCAAATTGGGATAGTGAGCATTCTTCAGTATGAATTGCCTTGGCTTTATAATGATTTCACACACTGTAGCATTATGTTCCACCCAGTCCCATTATCCTGACTCCAGGCCAACCAGTCCTAACACTAACCTCTTAAAGCTGAGTGCCTAGTGAGGCAGCTGCTAGTATCCTGTTTATAATATTTTGATATGACTTGGCTGGGGTTCAAACCCATGATTTCCCAGATTCGAGGCAGATGCTCTAACCACTAGGCCACCAGAGAGGTCACATGTACTGTATGCCCAATAACAATCTCTATCAAAGAGTACTCTTTTGGAAATGTAAACAAATTAAAAACTTTATCCAAGACCTTGAAATAAATCTTCCATGGCTTTGACCCCAAGGTCAAAAGTGCACACATGCATGTCACTGTCTTTAGCTTCATAATAATTAATCGCAAGAATGAAGAAAATGCAAATTTTCTATCACTGTGACCTTGACCCAAAAATGATGTAGGCAAGCTAGCATAGAATGAACTGTCCTATTTTCATAATGATTCATGCCAGTATGATGAGACTCTAACAACAGGTTTAGGAACTACAAGCAAACAATAAATTTTGTATTCAAAACCCTTATGAACTGTTGCCAGAAAGTGAATGCTATGATCTCTTCCCACCAACATGGGTTCAACAAAATCAAGTATATTAAACAAAAGTTACAATGAACAAAGAAAAGCATAGAAATCTTATTTTGTACTTTAAAAAGCGAAACTGAAAGCCGCAATATGCAAATGACATTAAACATTTTTATAATGTTACAAAAAGCAAAAATTGCAAAAACCTCTAAGCAGCTAATAGCGAAATAAATGTAGTGTTTACTGAAATAAATCATACAAGAAATAGAGCAATTACAATTCTGAAGCAAAAGCTCAGATATTTACAGTGACATCTACATAGTAAGAGTGCCAAAGTGTTCATTGAGAAATGCACAATTAACAAAGCAGGCAAACTTATAACAGTGTAAAATGTGTTGTAATTAATTTCAGACAAATGATAAACACAAATATAATCTAGTAATTGTGTAATTTTAATGAAAACTTTCAAACACTTGTACCATGTATGATTTTAAGATAGGTGAGAATCAGGGAGATACAAGCAATTGGATCAAACTGTCTTCAGATAAAATCTTTAATTTCATATTAAAACAACAGAGTTGTTTCTAAATTTTTTTTACATTTTCTACTAATTAGTTTTGGGGGTACTTAATTACCGAGAACAAAAAAATACTGATCATTATTTACAGCTGATTGGTAAGTAATGAAATGTGCAAAATCTTAATGTAGATACAAAGTTAAGTTTACAAATCTAAATTTGGATAAAATTTTTGTTGTACAAATCTTACTGGGGATACAAACTTCCTTGTGCAAATCTTAATGTAGATACAAATGTAATTGCACAAAATCTTAATATGGCTAGAAATGTTAACATGGATATAAATTTACTTGTACAAATTTTAATATGGATACAAAATTCATTCTAAAAAATTCCAAGATCAATACAAAGTTCTTTTGATAAATAAAATTGAAAGGACAACAATTAATCATTCTGGTGTAGAAAATGAAACAAACAAAGAGGCATCCATATAAAATTAGATGACAATATCTAGTGTCTTGTCTATCATATTAAATCTTATTTTGTTTACATTTTCATGCATAATATGAAAACCTTGGTAGAAAAGAATATTTACTTGCTTTAATTTAGTCTAATTCAGAATCATGAAAAAGAATCATTTTATGATAAAATTTTTCATATGAAAAATTAACAAAGTTACTGGCTACATTTCAACATTTTTTCTTTTAATACAAATAAACCTCTAGCCAAGTTATTTGTGAAATAAAATTAAATATATGGATCATGTACTATTTCTGATCTGTATGAATTATTGAATTGCAATACTTCCCAGAAAATGTTATAATACATAAAATTATATTTTCTATGTAAGAGCAGACACGCACTGCTCAGAAACAAGTACAATCAAATGTTCATTATCCATATATATCAATCATATAAACCAATTAATGTCCCCAAATTGAATTTATTTATTGTGCATAAAACTACCATTTATCTGGATAACCAATATGAAAAAAATACATCTCCCAAGAGATATTAATAATCAACATTTTAACATTGTAACAATTAAATCTAGAGGTTTTCAATTACTGATCCTTTCAGTAAAACAATTCCTTAATGTAACAAACAACCATAACTGTGTCCATATATCATGGGTACCCCTTCCAACAGGATGCAATTAAAAAACCAAGTTTCAAGTTAAGTTGGGCTAAAACTTCATAGAAGTTTGTCATAAAACAGTAAAAATCAAACTTGACATACAATTAGGTCTTCTTAATTAAAAAAGTCTCATACCTGACTTTTTTACTTTCTTTGATGCCATTCAAAAGTTATTAAATTGTCATGAATTCTTGACAAATGTGGCATGACAGCAAGACATGGATGGCAGAGGCATACCAACTTATGTAACAGCTTTAGAGTTTGTTTTAGTCCAATTATGTGGGATGAACTGAGGGAAATATGAAGACAAGAACTTACTATTTCCATCATTTAAAGAAAATGACAAGACAACATTTTTGTGAACAAGAACTAACATGGCATGATGCTCATGTAGTAGAGAAATGTTATAGATTCTTTTCATCCGAAATCAATATCCTTTACCACAGCATATCAGAGGGATTTAATGTTCTATATAATCCTCAGAAACTAAACCTCCATTTAATAATACAAAATTGCAAACATTAATCAGAAAATATTTAGGCAGCAAAAGTAAAGTTCAGAAACTATATACATAAATGTTATCCATATGTGGTAGTCATCATATTTATTACAAAAGGAGCTATACTATACAATATGTGCAACAAAAACAAAAATAAGATGAGCTCTTATCCAATAATAATGGCAAATTTGATAATGAATATTCAACATGTTTGTCCATATTTATATACAAAAAAAAGAAAACAACTTTTGGAACAACTGTTTACATTGCTGGTCCATGATTCAACTGGAAAAAGTTCAAGATAATTTCCTGAATTAAATATGTTGGAAGAAACATTAAATCATTAGGTAATGTTATGGCTATATACTAATTTATGTAAATGAGTGTTCTTTGATCTTGTATCAAGTTTTTTCATCTATCATATTCTCAAGAAAAATATTACAAAAAGCTAGAAATTCAATAACATTGAATTATGTACCCTCCTAATTTGTAGACCCTTAATTAAAACATCATGGAAATGCACAGGTAAACTTTTTGTTAACAATGAGATGTCATTATGAAAATTTTTTTATAAGTACACATTCTTGTGAGAATGAAATAAACTAAGGTCATGCAAGATTCTTTCCCAAGAGTAAGCTAGATATAATTTTCTGGAACCAAATATTATTATTTTTTTTAAAAAAATTGAAATTAATTCAAAAATCTTATCTTCCAACATATTGTATACAAAATAAAAACAAACAAATGAAAAATACTTCTTGATATCCTTTACATTAATATAAATATGTCATCAACAATTTTCATAATTCTAGCATCGATGCATAAAAACACAGCAAAAGGTTTTGAAGTTTGTGTCTAAAAATAAATTTTGTGTAAAAATAATCTTTTGTAACTATGTAGCCAGTTCTCTGCATGTGTCTTGAGATTTGATAGTTCAGTTATCATTTGTCCACAGTTTCAGTGAAAAGATGTCTCAAATCATCCAGACTTACAGGCAGTTCTGATTCTATATTTAAAGACTTTTTTTGTGAAGTCTTCACAATTTAATACATTTATATTGAATTCCAATATTGACATACAATATTTAAATCTAGTCCTTTCCTTTGACTATAGTTAGGAGAGCTTTTACTGATATATTTAACCACTAATGATTTACCTCCAGATCTGTTTATATGTCTTATGGTTCAATCATGTAGCTATCATATTCAAATGTTATCACTGTCTGTGTCCTGATTTTTCTTTGTCCCTTAAGATTGTATAGGTAAGTTCCCATGCTGACACACAACACTTAGACAAGACCTGTGGTGGAAAATTTTGTAACTGAATGTGAGCCTCTATCTCTCTGTCATCAAAAAATACTTGCAGGTAGTCTACAAATCTGAAAACAATAAAAATATACTGCAATAAGTTAGTTTTTGAAAAATTCGCAAAACGGTATTGCATCCTAAAAGCATTATCTATTTTTGGTGAATTTGTTTTTATTTAAAACTGAAGATATGAATGGTAGTTATTTGATTAGATGTTAAATTTATTCTCCATTTACAGTTCCTGCCAACGAAGGGTCCACATAATCAATTTGCTTTACAAAGAATGTAGAAAGGACATTTTACCTTGTTTCTTTGTCCTTGCCATCTGGGTTCTGATGGACAGAGATGTACAGGACAATACACTCAAACATAAACTCTAGAAGGGGAATGAGACATTTAAGAGGAAGTGGTTGGAGGTAATCACTGAGAGTCTTCTTTTGTTCTTGTGTCAGGGGTTGGTGGAAATTTTCAGGAATCCCATCAAATATCATCTGTAACAGAGCATTATTAACTTCAATCTGAACTTTATTTTTTGACATTAAAACATACTCTAAGTATTATGGTCTTTTCAATTGTTACTCAACTATGATCTAACAAGGGGCACTGAGATAAAGTACAATGTAATTGTATTTTGGCTATGATTATATCTGTACTTCATATTTATACATTACATCTGATAATTACCACAATAACATCATCATGGTCAACAACTTTCTTTAGAGCAAATGGCAAGCAGAAAACTTTTGAAGGTATGACTAGATTATTCTAACCTGTGACATCTGCATGTATAAAGAAACATTACCTATCAATTACATGATAATTCTGTGATTATATAGTTTTCATAATCCACAATCTATATGTAGGCATAAATTCATTCATCCAGCCATACATCTCTATATTTAAATAATGTTGCCATCCATAAATAAACCAGATATCTCAAACAGATCTATGGACTATCACATATATGCCAAATGACTACCTCATATATGCCTTAAGACTATCTACTATAAGCCTGAAGAATATCTCATATATGCCTAAATGTGTATCTCTTGCCTTAATTTTTTTCTAGTGTTACCTCTTTGTGTTGAGCAAGAATCTTTGTCTTCTCCAGGGAAAGTAGTAACCACAATGACTTCACATGTCTATACTGACAGTACAGTTTGGCCTGAAATAAGAAGCAGATGGTAATTGCA